ACTAAAAAAAAAAAAAAAAAGAGGTGATGATGTGAGACTGCGTTGGAAAGGATTGCTCAGGCTGGGGGAAAAACAAGTGAAACCAGAATAGAGATGAAAAAAAACAGGTATGATAGATCAGAGGTTAACCTTGTGGACAAAGGGTAGATTCAGTAGGCATACAAGAAAGAAAAGAATTGTTTCAGAAATAGGATTTTTAGAGTATGAAAGTTCTTAGGTGGACCTTTCCAGAATATAATATGGTTAACCATGTAATATTTATAAAAGTAGAATAAAGGCAGATGGGAGGTAAAAGAGTGTTTATTGATAGAATTTGTGAAAAATTATAAATGAGACCTAAAATGATTGCTTCCCCAGTTTCTGACTTGGTGGCATTTAAGCGGTTGGGAGAATTATAGTTTAGCATCGTGAAAGCTAGTTATTTTACATATTTTCCTTTCCAGTATAGTTTGATATAATTTGTAAGTACATAATGACTTAACTATAGCAAAGGAGACTAGTCACCTCGGAAATTTTCTGTAATACTTACTGAGCAGTCACTACCACTGTAAACACAGCATTGGTTCTAGATAACTTATAGTTTAGTTATAATACTAGATCTTTCCTGAGAGTTTTGCTGTACTGTAAATGTGAGTCATTACCCATATTATCTGTTTTTTTCTTTGTGGGTTAATCCATATTAGGGTACAAAAAATAATATAGGACAAGTTCAAGATTAAAGATGTTTTATAGAACATACTTGATATCTTAGATTTGCCACCAGCCAGCCACATGTGCTTATTGGTAACTTGAAATATGGCTAGTCCAAACTGAGATGTGATATAAATGTAAATTATAGTATGCATTGGACTTTGAAGATTTAGCATGAAACAAAGAATGTAAAATAGCTCATTAATAGTTTTTTTATATGGATTACATGTTTGAAATAACATTGTAGATATATTAGATTAAATAAATTATATTATTAAAATTAATTTTGCCTGTTCCTTTTTTCCTTTTTAATGTAGCTATTAAAAAATATTGATTTCAGAGAGAGGAAGGGAGAGGGGGAGAGAGAGAGAGAAACATCAGTGATGAGAAAGTTGTCACTGATCAGCTGTCTCCTGCACTCCCCCGACTGGGCATGGAGCCTGCAACCCGGGCATGTGCCCTGACTGGGAATCGAACTGTGATCTCCTGGATCCTAGGTGGATGCTGAACTGCTAAGCCACGCCTGGCTGGGTGCTGTTAGAAAATTTAAAATTTCGTATGTGGCTTTCATATATGACTCATATTCCTGTTGAACAGCACTATCTTAATATGAAAGAAATCTACCTCTCTTTTTTTAGATATATTTTTGAAATATATCTTTATTGATTTTAGAGATAGGAAAGGAGAGGGAGAGAGAGAGAGAGATAGAAACATCAATGATGAGAGTCATTGATTAGCCGCCTCCTGCACGCCCCCCAGTGGGGATCGAGCCTGTAACCCAGGCATGCGCCCTGACCGGAATCGAACCCTAATCGCCTGGATCCTAGGTCGATGCTCAACCGCTGAGCCACGCCTGGCCAGGCTACCTGTCTTTTTTTTACTATAACCAAATATGTAACTATTTGCTGAATTATAAATCTTTAATTTGGAAAAGCAAAAATAAAAAAAAATTTGGTCTATGAGTGTGCTTAATGAAATTTGCTGGGGATAGATTTAAAAATAATGCTATCATTAGATTTCAAGTAATTTTACAGTTATACCTAACAGTAGCTGTTCAGCTTCAGGGATAAAGGAACTGGATACCACACTTCAGCAGACTAGTCTTGGGGTCTGAAAGTAGACCTTTGCTTTGTGTTATGCAGCTCTCTAAGCACATTATGGGCTTGTCCTAAAACTCATGTTTTATAGCTAGATTGTATTATCTGATACAGCAAGTGTCATGCTTGGTGATGCTTGTGGTGTGTTTCTAATATTAGGTTTTCTAAAGCAGTGTAGTGTCACTTGGGAACTTAGAAATACTAATTCTTGAGCCCCACCCCTGCTGAATCAGAATAATTCTGTTTAAACCCTCCAAGTGATTGTAATGCACATAAAGTTTGAGAAACATGGTTCTGGATTATGCTACTTATATTGAAGTAGCAAAACTCAACCTCTTTATAACAATTCTCCATTTTGTCCCCTTGATAGAAGGCTACTTATCATGCTGTCATCTGGAGGTAATTTAACTGATGTAAATTTTATTTTTCTTATAAAAGGGCTCACAAAATTTCAGGATTAATTTCTAAATAGCAATACTTATATTTAGAGTGGTATTTTTTTGATTCTAATGAAAAATCGTACATTCTTAGGTTGATGCTCTCCGATTGCGTTTGGAAGAGAAGGAAACTATGCTGAATAAGAAGACAAAACAAATTCAGGACATGGCCGAGGAGAAGGGAACACAGGCTGGGGAGATACACGACCTCAAGGACATGCTGGATGTGAAGGAGCGGAAGGTGAATGTTCTTCAGAAGAAGGTAAGCTGCAGGTGTTCCGAGCTCATCTGGCGGACGTCACGTATACATACCTCTGAGTTTACCTGATATTGGCAACATTTCTCATTTCTCTGTTTATGCATTTGTGGTTAGTAATTGAAACTGTTGTTGCAATAGGTAAGTTGTTAGAACTGCTCTGCATATTCAGTTTTTAAGGTTTTTAGGTAAACACTATTAGTATCTTCAACAGTGTTTTGCATGCTGTTATTTCTGAAAAATGCCTTGTAAATTGCCAGAGTGTTTACATAGACATCCTTCTACTTCTTCTGTATTGGAACTGTAATTCCAATTCATGTAATGACATGAATTAATATTATATATGGACTTGGGATGGTCGCAACTCCATCTATGCGATTAATATTATACTTTTGAATAGAAAACATGCTACTATAATTAACATATAGTGTACATGGGAGGTGGAACTGGGGTGCAGGGGGTCAGTGGGGGAAAAAAGAGGGACATCTGTAACACTTACAACAATAAACATAAATTAAAAAATATATATAGAGTACATGTGTCAAGGAGAGAAAGAATTTCTTTCCTTTTTACCTTAATCACTATTAGAAAGAAGCTAACTCTGGAATAAAAGAAGTACTAATAATTTTTCTTTCTCTTTTTTTTTTTTATTAGCTTAATTATGGTAGCAGTTATATGGACTCTGGTAGATGTTGTTCATCTCCATGAGGTGATACATTAAAAATATTTGACATTTTCCTAGTTTATTTTTAACCTCTAACAATAGCCAAGGAATAAAATTCTTTACTAAACCTCAAGTTCAGCTTTTCTTTTATGTACAGAGGACCATGTCCTATATTTGTCCTATATTATATTCGTTTGGTTTCCATTTACTTTCTATAAGTAAACATGAACATTTGATCACTCTAAATATATTTTGTTAGTTGATGCTAATTTGCTTCAAATTTTTATGCATATCTATCTACCTATGTATATATGTGTGTGTGTCTTCTTCTCACCCTTTCCCCCCAACTGCTTACTTCCTCTTACCTGTTTATTACACATTCTTCCAGAAACAGCCTATATATACATAGGCAAATATATATTCTCTCTTTTTATGTTCACCTGTTTTTGTATTCTTCCAGAAACATTTTATGCATAACCCATATAGAGCAAAAAGGTTTCTTTTAACACAGATGTTACCATTCCTTATTGCCTGTTCCTTTCCTTTTTTCCTCATTGTTACTGACTGACAACATTTTGTGTATGTACTAAAATGTACTTAACAAGGTTTCTACTGGTGGTAATTTAGTTTGTTTGAAATTTCTGCTTTTATCTAAAATGATGCTGCAGTTAAAAAGTATTGTACATGCTTAGTTTATACATATGTGGAGTATATTTCTAGGTAAATTCTTTGAAGTAGAATTGCTGGGTGAAAGGATATGCTTTGTAATGTTGGTGGATTTTGCCAAGTAACAGGTTTATAGGGTAGAACCCAAAAGTTGTTTGGAAGTAATGCATGTCTTATTTTTAACTAGGTAAACATTTTTTAAAAGTTTTTAACTGTGACTAGAGGTTAGAAGTTAGAATTAAAACTTATTATCCTGAAATAATCATAGTTACTAAAAACAGAATGGCAATACTTACTCTAGACATTTTATATCTATAATCTTGTTTAATCCTTCCATTCATTTGGCAGTGGTTTTTAGATATTGATTGCCCTATCTCAAATGAGGGGCCAAATTTTTAAACCATGATACATAGTAAGAAATATATTTTACGTGCGACTTTGTATACACATTCATCTGTACCCATATGTAATATAGATGGTTAGAAGCTATAGCTAAAACTTTCACGAAATATACTTTACTTCATGAAAGTACTCTGAACTATCTTCTTCCATTTCTTAAAGGAATAAAAAAATGTTAGTCCTGACCCATTAGGTAATTTCAGTACTCACTAATGAAACACTTTTACACCTTGACATCCTCTCCCCCATGCTTCCCTATTCCTACCACCAAAACAGAAACTCAAAACAAATTTCAGACATAATTTGTACAAATTTGTTTAGCTTTTTTTAAAGGGATAGCTTCAGATTTTGACAAAAGGTTAGTCTTACTCCAAAATGCAGCTTTTCCCATTACAACACTTCCTCATTGGGAGTATTAGATGGAAATAAGCATTAAAGCATTGTTTTTTAAGTTAACTTTTTAATGTACTTTTTATTGAGGTGAAATTTATATATAACAGAATAAATCATTATAAAGTATATAGTTCAGTAGCATTTAGTGTATTCACTATGTTGTGTAACTACCACTTCTGTTTAGTTTCAATACTTTTTATTTTTCTTTTTAAAATTAATTTTTTTCAATTACAATTGACATTCAATATTATATTAGTTTCAGATAGTACAGCATAGTGGTTAGACATTTATATAACTGAAGAGGTGATTCTCCAATAAGTCTAGTACCCACCTGGCACCATACATAGTTATGATATTATTGACTGTATTCGCTATGCTGTACTTTACATCCCCATGACAATTTTGTAACTCACTGAATTTGCTAGATAATTATCAGGTTGTCACACCCATGTGGACAAAGCTCTGCATATTCTTTTGGCATTTTGGCTCTTTCCAAAGTTTGAGACTCTTCTTGTTTGACAATATATTCAGACTTGCACACATTCCATTCTGAGAAGATTCTGGATTTCAGGTTGCCCCCTGTGAATTTCTAAAACTAGAGTACCAGCTGATTCAGAGAAACAGTTCAGTCAACAGCTCACACAGTTTCCCAGGTTAATCTTGACATATAGTGAAGTATTTATTTTTGTTTCTTTCCACTGATCATTCTTGACCTTGTTTATCACTAGTCTTGTAGCATCACAGCTTAATTATTCCCAAGGTTTAAATTTTTATTCTTGGTTGCCCAAGAATTCCTTTGAATACTTTTTCAGGAAAGGTCATGTGTGCTATATTTCCCAAATTCTTGCTTGTTGACCATGTGTTTATACTATCTTTTTGTATTTTATAATTTAATTATTTTAGAGATACAAAAAGTATAAAGTAAAATATTAAGCAATTTTATTTTTTATTGAATTTATTGGGGTGACACTGGTTAACAAAATTATATAGGTTTCAGGTGCACAGTTCTACAACACATCACCTGTACACTATATTGTGTTCACTACCCCAAGTCAAGTCTCCGTTCATCACCATGTATCCCCTGTATCCCCTCCTCCACCTCACCCCACCCACCCTTTTTCCGGCAATTACCAAACTGTTGTCCCTGTCAATGAGTTCTTTTCCTTTCTCTTTCTTTTTTGCTCAATCCCTCCACCTTCCCAACAGCTGTCAGCCTGTCTATGAGTCTGTCTCTGTTTTGCTTGTTAGTTCATTTTGTTCATTAGATTCCACATCTGAGTGAAGTCATATGGTACTTGTCTTTCTCTGACTGGCTTATTTCACTTAGTGTAATGCTCTCCAGGTCCATCCATATTGTTGCAAAGGGTAAAATTTCTCTCCTTTTTACGACTGAATAGTATTCCATTATGTAAACGTACCACAGCTTTTTTCCTCACTCGTTTTATTTTATCCACTCATTTAATTATTTCAGAGATATAAAAAAAGTATAAAGAATAATATAACATGTAATTTTAATTACTCAATTTAGGAAGTAATATTTAATACACAGTTAAAGCTTCTTGGTATATCTTTTCTTGATAGTATTCCCCTCTATTCTCTTCTAGAGATAAACACTTGATTTTTCTTAGCTCAGGAAGATGTATATTTTTATACTTTTACAACTTATATATGTATTAATAAAATATAATAAGAGGGTATACACATGGTAAATAAATTTAAGAAGTAATTTACCCTCACTGTAATCAAGAGAATGTAAACTAAGACCAGATTAAGAAACCATTTTATACCTGTCATTTTATGCAATGTTGGCAAAAGTAAGAAATCTGACAATATTCAGTGCTGGTGAATATGGCAACTGGGTTGCTGCAGTGCTCTTGGGTTTTTAAATTGGTACAGCTACTTTGGAGAGTACTTATCTTATTAAATTAAAAATAAACATACCCAGAACCACATACCATAGACGAACTCCAGTACATGTATAAGAATGCTCATAGTAACCTTATTTAGATTCAAAACAAAACAAAAACTGAGGAAACACTGCAAATGTTCATTGTCTGAAGAGTGAGTTAAGTAAATTGTATAATCACACAATGGAACATAATATTTTTGTTTTAAGGCAAGGGAATATTTAGGATAAAAATTGAGCCATGTCATTTCTTCTAGAGGTAGGGAAGAAAGAAATGTGATGAGGAAGCATATATGTATAAATATTTAAAGTAGCTTAGGTAATGTTCTCATTCTTTAGATGAGCAATGGATTCACATACTTATTATTATACTTCATAACATTTATAGATGTTAAATATTTAATATATGTAATATATTAAATATATGTAATATATTAAATAATATTTAGATATAATTTAAAATAATGGGAGACAGGTTAATTTGTTAAACTTGCATCATTGGTACTTGGGTGTTTATTAACTTTATATATTTTTTTGTTTAAATAGTAATAATAAAAATTCTTAGAAAAAACCTCTCTACATACACCTGCCTATCTTCTTTGAAAAAGAATTGTTCCTTTATTTGGTATTAAATGTATATCTAATTCTATAATCCTGAAATTAGAACCACCTTTCTTAGAAGTTCATTTAAATATTTTGAAACAGTGTCTGATACAGATGTTGAGTCTCATTTGATAAAGTCCAGCTGTCTGTTGAATTACTTTCATCCTATAAAGTCTCTGGCAATTGGATTTATTCAGCTTATGGTCAGATATGCCCAATTATGATGCATAAATGACTTGGACTGTTTTTATCCTCTTTTCTTGAACCAGAATTTGGCTGCTTATATAGTATTTGCCCACTGAGATTAACTTGGGAGCTTACTGAACAAGTGTAATCCTTCTGCGGGATGGCTTTTTAGATATTGGAAACTTGCTA